TATCCATCAGTGACCAATCAACCATACGTATTACATCCATCAGTGACCAATCGATCGGACCTATTATATCCTCCAGTGACCAATCAATCGTACCTACTATATCCATCAGTGTCCAATCAATCGTACCTATTATATCCACTAGTGACCAATCAATCGTACTTATTATATCCATCAGTAACCAATCAATCGTACCTAATATATCCATCAGTGACGAATCAATCGTACCTATAATATCCATCCGTGACCAATCAACCGTACTTATTATATCCATCAGTGACCAATCGATCGTACCTATTATATCCATCAGTGGCCAATCAATTGTACCTATTATGTCCTCCAGTGGCGAATCAATCGTACCTATTATATCCATCAGTGGCCAATCAATCATACTTAATATACCCATCAGTAGATAATCAATCGTACCTATTATATCTATCAGTGAACAAATCAATCGTACCTATTATATCCTTCAGTGACCAATCAATCGTACCTATTATATCCATCACTGACCAATCATTCGTACCTATTATATCCATCACTGACCAAACAATCGTACCTATTATATCCATCAGTGACCAATCAATCGTACCTACTATATCCATCAGTGTCCAATCAATCGTACCTATTATATCCTCCAGTGGGCAATCAATCGTACCTATTATATCCTCTAGTGACCAATCAATAGTGGTCGTGCTGCTAAGCCAACGTCTATACCATCAATGTGCAGGGTTGGATGACATTGTCCACAATCTCTGACCATGGAGGATTTCCACTGTGGAATGTGAAGACAGATGGTCGAGACCTGGCACCCGATATCTACCGAGCCCTCAAGTTCACCGTTCCGCATTTCAACAGGTAACATAGGATGCAATCAGTATTGTGATTATAGTCTGGTCTAATTGATGTGTGATAACCAAATGCAGCCCTTCCGGGCACAACACGTTTTGTCAAGAAATAGGAATAGCAAACCGTGACACAACAAATAGTCCTTGATTGCGTTTGATATGTTACACTACAGCAATCAACAAAGTAAAAAAAACGTTACGTCGATAGTTAAGGTAAGCATGCGAAAGTATTTTTTTCTCGATTGATAATGAGTTCACCAGGAAAGATGTCTCAATGTCATTGCCGATTTGTCTTTCCAAGGACCGAAGTTCGTGAGATGTAGTAAATATTTTTTCCTATGTACGAATGTGTAGATACTTGCTTGGACGTGCATAGTCTGTGTCTTCTTGTCATTGCCAGCTTGTCTCGTTAGTGAGTTAAGTTCGTAAGATGTAGTAGATACTTTTTCATATGTACGAATGTCTGGACGTGCATGGTCTCGTTGGCGTTGTGCACTTCAGTTCTTCCCCGCCTGTCGTATCGTTCTGATACTATTCTCATTGAAAATGTGTAGAACTCGCTATTCAGCAACGTGTCTCTTGCAGGCTACATTTGCCCGTACATTTTAAGCAAATGCTGATATTATAGTATAACTAAAATCGGGCTGCTTAATCAGATTAATCTGGAACTAACGTCTTGCAGTTGACACTTTGGATTGGTGGTATGAGTGAAATATAGATAGGTCTGAGTGGGCCACATTTATGATAATCATTTCCCTTTCATAACAGGTCATGGAATCATCCGCAGAATGTCACCGAAGACATGGAACGTATGGATGTGCTGTATCACATGGGCCAGAGGATATACAAATCGCTCCAAGAGCTAGAACCTGCCCCTGGTATGTACTTCATACATGTCCAAGTCTCTAGATACAAGCATCTCTGAAGCATTCAATTAATGCTCTCTATATATACTGTACTCTGAATATGTACATAGCTTCAGCCAAAATCTATGCACGCTTACAAACTTCAAACTCTAAAGACTCGAGAACTCATCTGCAGGTCCATGCTCTTTTTATGCCTCATCGTACGTGTATACATCTTCAATTTCCTGTAGAATTCGCGACATCACGAGCACTGTACACGTGTGAGCCGATGTTTATGATGCACGACGGAATCCCTCCCTTCTGGAACCTGGGGCTGTTGCCACGAAAAGATTACGCATTACCTACTGAATGGTGATACGTCACCTGCGTGACCAGTGATCTATCCTGCTTCACCTGGAAGTGGCCAGGCCCTGTACAGTGCCCACTGTAGCCAGCTACGAGATATTTGAAATCGGAAGCAGTGTACTCGAGAGCACACCATACATATATAATCTGTTGTTCGCTCGAGAAAGTATGGAGACACACAACTGTCTCTACCAAGGTAGCCACACATGTATCGTCGTTTGTGTGTATTATACTGCACGTCAAGGATCTGTGATCGCGTCGGTATAGCGCCAACGGTACCCATTAGTAAATAATTGAGCACTGCGAGGATCTTGTGCGAAGTCCTGCCTGCATACTCCAGAGTAAGCCAATGGAGCACATACTTTCCTTTCTATTTTAATCAAGAAAGATATGTACCCGATAGGGCGGGCGTACATAAGTATTTGTGGTAAAGGATACTTCAGACTAACAGAGGACGATAAAACATGACTCAAATAAAATATAAGAGCGTACGAGATGTTAGTGTGTGTGTTTATGCAAGTATATAATATTTCATAGGCTATGTACAATATTCACATAGGAATATATATATATATATATGTATATATATATATATATATATATACATATATGTCTATATGTCTATATGTCTATATGTCTATATGTCTATATGTCTAT